TTGCAAGCAACCCTTGTTAGCAACATAGAGGGGCTTTCCCGCTCACAATTTTACAATTATTTACACAGTCGATATGGATCTAGAAATAAATTTAAGAAGGAAACCTATGATCTAATTAAAGATGTTGGAGCTACCTTTGGCTTGAAAGAATATGCAGCAGAGGACTGGGTTGGTCCAGTCGTTGATTATTGGAACAACAAGTATAATGGAAAATTTATTGGATATAGTGTAGTGTACCGGTGGTAAAAGTTCGGGACGTGACATATGTCATTCGATTCGTCTCGACGAGCTGAGTCGAACGGTACCACTCCCTATTTTAGGAAATGATTCTGGACCGAGTTATAGGTCCCTGAAAATCGAAAAACCAAAGGGGGGACCAAGCACTTTTTTGGGGTGAAAAATTCGAAAATGCAAATTATACCTCATTCGAAAGAGCTCGTCGAGCTGAGTCGAATGACACCAAAATCAGAATTGATTGAAAAAGTTTGAGTCGAGATATAGGGCTCGAAATGGTCAAAAACCATAGGGGGGATTTTAGGGTCAAAAATTCGATTCTACAAATGTTAGCTCATTCGAGAGAGCTCGTCGAGCTGAGTCGAATGACACCAAAATCACCGTGATTGAACAAGATTAGACAAAGTTATGATACAAAAAAACAAAAAACCTAAACCTATGGGTCGTCGGCGAGGCGCTTGTGCGAAACCCCGCGCTTCGCGCGGGGTTTCGCGGCACGCGCCTCGCGGGGAGTCTACGGGCGCTGGGTCTGGGCTCGTAACATAAACCTATTCCTATCTCACTTGCTCTGGACGTTTTTGGGGCCTCCGTAGCAGCAAAAATCTCCACAGATGCCATAGGTAAGGAGCTAAAATAAACGGTCATAATTTTGTCAAATCAAGTCGGATTTCGTTGATTTTGGTGTCATTCGACTCAGCTCGACGAGCTCTTTCGAATGAGGTATAATTTGCATTTTCGAATTTTTCACCCCAAAAAAGTGCTTGGTCCCCCCTTTGGTTTTTCGATTTTCAGGGACCTATAACTCGGTCCAGAATCATTTCCTAAAATAGAAAGTGGTACCGTTCGACTCAGCTCGTCGAGACGAATCGAATGACATATGTCACGTCCCGAACTTTTACCACCGGTACACTACACTACAGCCATTTTATTTTTAAAGTCTTTATTTTTGGCCCATCTGGAAACTACAAACCAAAATATAAATATGGCCCAGAAAATTTCGATACACCAATTATTATTTACCATGACAACAAGCACTTTGATGGAGTTCAAAAAGTGGGAAATATTTTTGGACAATCTTATTGTCTGTCTTGTGAAATGGTGTATAGTAAGCCCAAGGAGCACACCACAAAATGCCGATCACGATGCTTAAACTGTTCTCAAATAGGACCAAAATTCCCTTGCAAAAAGGAGAACTTTAATAGGTATTTAAGAAAATAATTTGTATTTTTAAATTTTTAATTGTACAGGAAATGCACAGATTGTTGTAAAACATTTGAAAATGTTGACTGCTTCCTTCATCATTTAAACAGTGGTTTCTGTAGAAATTCCAAACAATGTGAAAAATGTGGTGAAATCTACAACTTCCATGATAACAACAAGAATGGTCGCAAAGGGCATGTTTGTTTCGAAAAATACTGTGGAAAATGTGGGGATTACCATGATCCAAAAAGAGGGTGCTACATAAAACCTCTTAACCCCAAACAACTAAATCCATATCGATTGGTTGCATTTGACTTGGAAACAATGCAGCATAGAATTACAAATCCTGCAAGACAGCAAAGAATTCATGAGACCAATTTTATTGCAGCAAAGATTGTTTGTCCAAAATGCATTACAACAGGAGAATGGAAAAGAAGTTTAACAAATGGAATTTGCAAAGTGTGCGGCCCTCATCGCACAATAACATTTTCACATCAACCGTACAACGATACTATTTCCGATCAACAAATTATCACACAAAATCCTTTAGAAGATTTTGCCCTATGGATATTATATGGCCTACCAAACAACTACGACACCTACGTCTACTCACATTTTGGTGGACGTTTCGATATGGTTCTTGTTTTTGAAAAATTATACAACCAAAATTTAAACCCTGATTTAATTATGAAAGGCAACAAACTTTATGAAATGAAAGTGGCAAAACGACCAAATTCGAATCCTAACGTCGTATTTCGAGACTCCTATAATTTAATGCCTATGGCTTTAGCAGCGCTTGTCCCAACATTTGGATTGGAAGTAGAAGACAAACCATTTTTCCCCCACTTGTCAAATAGACCAGAGAACTATGGAAAGAGAATTTTCCCAACAAAAGAAGATTACCTGGCAGACGGAATGATGCCCAATAAAAGAAGAGAATTTGATGTATGGTATGAAGAGAATAAGCATACTCCTTTCCTATTGGATGAAGAATTAGCAAGTTACTGTACTAATGATGTAGAGATATTAATGTGTGCGCTCATTGCCTTTCGCAATGAGTTCTTCGAAACAACAAAACGACAATCCCACAATGGTATTGATGCTTTGCGGGAGTGCATGACTATTGCAAGTGCGTGTATGAAACATTTCCGCACAAACCATCTTCAAAAAGAACATCTGGCAATAGTCCCTGAAAGAGGGTATGAAAATGTGGACAACCAAAGTCTTCTAGCTCTAAAATTCTTCCAGTGGTACAGCGAGAAAAACAACGTAGAAATCCAAACAGCACATTGGAAAGGTGAAAAGATAATTGGAAAATATAAATTAGACGGATGGATAGAAGATCAACAATTGGGGATAGAAGTTAATGGTTGTGCTTGGCATGGATGTAAAAAATGCTACCCATATGACAACATGATCCTACCTAATGGTCTAACAGCAGGGAACAAACGACAAAAGGATAAAGAGAGGATGGAATATATTCTGACACAGATACCGGAAGTAAAAGTTTATTGGCAATGTGAAATTGAAAAAATGTTAAGAAGAGATAGAGAAATGAAGAAGAAATTTGATAATTATTTGGATGAGGGACCTTTAGAAATTAGGGATTGCTTTTTTGGAGGACGCACCGGTCCACTTAAATTATTTCATGAGGCAAAAGAAGGGGAAAAAATTTCTTATTACGATGTAACATCGCTTTACCCATTCACCAATTTTATTACCAACTACCCTATTGGACACCCAATTGTCCACAATTTAAATGAAGAAGTAAATTGGACAGCATCAACAGACAACAAATACCCTTTGGCACTTTTGAAAGTATTTGTTATCCCCCCAAGAAAAATTGATATTCCAATACTTCCTGTAAAATTGGACGAAGAACGACTACTTTTCCCTTTGTGTGCGAGATGTGCCAAAACGCATCCAAAAGGCGGCAGAAATGAAGTATATAATTGTCGACATAGTGATAGAGAAAGAGGTTGGGTTAGCACGTGCTCCTCCATCGAATTAAATGCAGCATTGGATGAAGGATATATTGTCACCAAAATATATCGTGTATTAGAATATACACAATCAGACAGCGAGCTTTTCCGTCCTTACATGCGGGAATTCCTAGCACATAAAATCCATTCTTCGGGGTTTGATGAGAGAATAAGAGGAAATAGAGAAGAAGAAGAAAAATTTGTAAAAGAATGTTGGGAATTGTTTGGAATGAAGATAGAAAGGGAAAAGATGATGCCAAATAAAGGAAAGAGGGCAATTGCAAAGCTGGCTGTAAATAATCTCTGGGGGCGTTTTTCTTTGAGAAACCATGGATTCACCCAAACACACATTACAGACGACATTGCAGAACTTGGAGAATTCATTCACAACAACTCCATTGAAATAGCTGCAATTGAAGAACTAAATAGTGAAACAATGATGATTCGTTATTCAAAAAAGAAGGAATGGATAGAAGAGCATGACAGTTCAAATGTGGTGATATCGTTATGGACAACCTCTGCCGCACGCTTGCACCTGTTGAAACTGATGCAAAAAGTAGTACGAACACCTGGGTGTTCACTGCTTTACACTGGTATATTTTCTTAAACTTTTTCGAATTTTAACTTTATTATTCAGATACGGACTCATTGATCTTCGCACACCCCGAAAACAACAATCCACTTGACCTTGGGCCACATCTTGGCGATTTAACTGATGAATACCCCCATCATGAAATTCTTGAATATTGTAGTGGTGGTGCAAAGCAATATGGATTGAAATTGAGAAGAAGGAATGGAGATGATGATTATGAATATGTCCTAAAGGTGAGAGGGATGACGCTTAATTTTGATATTGTGAATAATCAAAACCTAAGATACGAAACTTTTAAAAATTCTGTAATTGATTATGTTAAAAATGGCAATCTCGACCCTATCTTTGTAGTTTACCCTAACTTTTTACGCCCTTCTGTTGTAAATAGCTCAGTTATCTCACAACCTTTTCATAAAATGTATAAGCCTTTTGTTGGCAAGGGTATCATACGCCTGAGCGATTTCTCTGTGTTAAATTTTGGCTATGTCTCTAATTAATTTATTTTTCTTCTGTATTTAAATTTGTGTACTCTTTTTCCTTATCTATATTTTTGTCTTTTTACAATTAATTTTTTACAATTAAAAAATTTTTTTCTATTTTTTTCATAATATTTATTTACTTCAATAAAAAATTAACATTTTGGAAATACTATTTTGAAAAAATTAAGAAATGGAAGATATCGATTTTAGGGGTAAAAATACATAATTAGTAAGCAGAAGATACTATTTTGAAAAAATTAAGAAATAGAAGAGACACATTTATTTTATAATTTAAAACTAAGAAATGGGAAATACTATTTAAGCAATATTAAATAAGGAAGTTATCGATTTTAGGGGTAAAAAAGCATAATTAGCGGTCAGAAGATATAATTTATAAAATATAAAGGAAAAGAAGATACAAAATACTGCTTTTTGGTATTTTTAGGTAAAAAATAGGCAAAATAATGGTAAAAACGTATAAAACATGCGCATGAATATCGTATGCACATAAAATTACCAGCCGTGCATGTATTCAAAGTCATCTTCTGATTGGCTAAATTTTCTTCCTCCATAACAAAGATTATCATCGTAGTCGGAAAGAGGCACAGGTGTTGTTACATCAAAATCCCTTTCAGATTGTTCAGAAGTTGATTGAGTTGTTTTATCAATAAAAATATTTGCCATCCAGCCAGATAAAGGTTCTTCCTCCACTAATTCTAATAATTCCAAAGGGTAATATCTATCTTCATGGGTTTGTCGTTGAACTACACACAAATGATAAGGGTGATTGAGTCGTATACGATGTCGGGCGTAAAAATGTGCTGCCACATTAACATTAAAAGGTGAGGAAAGTCGTCCATAAGCCAGAATACTATTTGCTCCATTTCGACTCAAATCATCAAAAAATAAAGTTTTGCTCATCCCATTATTATCCAAATAAGTTGTTTTTAATTTCTTTCCCTTTAGTTGTTTTAAAATTTTATCACGATTTGAAGGGTGAATAAGTTGATAGCGCAGTGAAGTAACACTGCATTTTAAAATTTTAGCAATTTCATCAATCAGGAGCACCATTTTTATTAAATAATGAATAATTCAAATATTGGAAAATTTTTAAAATGATTTTGGAAAAATGAAAGGATTCAAAACCCTTCCTACCCCCTACCCCTGCAATACATTCATATACCATCCGATTCCATCCCCTACCCTCAACAATCTTAAGCTTTAACCGACTTCCACTCAAAAATAAAAATCATTTTGAATTATTGCAAAAAAAAAATGAGTCAAATTATTCCTGAATTTAATCCATCCATTCCTCCTCCTGCTCTTCCTTTGAAGCCTGAGAATTTAATACCAAAAACACTTTTCCCTGAACAACTTCTTTGGAAACTATTGAAAGGGAAAACTGTTCTCCAATATCACCTTTGCTTTGGTGAATTGTTATTTATTTTATAAATTTTAAATTAAAATTTTAGAATGTCAAAATCGACTGTTCAATTCAAAAGATAAAGTAATGCGAAATGGTGAAAGAGTGGTTATCAAAATCGAACTTTGCGACGACTGTGTCAAAGAAAATTGTAATGCAACTGATTTGCTATCAAACAAGAGAAAGAAAATAGAAAAGAAAAATTGAAAATATTGAATTAATTTAATTTAAAAACTTAATGTAATAATTAAACTTTAAATAAATATTTTAAAAAATTTGTATATTTATTTTGATAGTCACTTCTTTCTTCCTTTCTTTCCCTTTCTTTTTCTTTCTTTTTTATTTCTTTCTTATTTTTGATCCATTCCTTTCACTTTTTAAAAACATCTGGCTTTTCTTGTTCGAGATGCGCCGGATAAAATCTCAAATTTTGAATAATTATTGTAGAAAGGCGAGGAAAGGAAAGGGCGAAGAAAGGGGTATAAGATAGGGCGTGGAAAATGGGTAATTGGAAAAATAAACAATAAAAAATAAAGATTGGCAATTGTTTCCTTTCATTATTTGGCATGAAATATTGTTTTTAATTTTTGCTATTCAACTTTATTGTTGGCTTTAAATTTTTGTTTAAGTTTCTATTATTTTTAATTTTCTGATTATTTTTAAGTTAATTATTTAAAATTTTTACATCAAAATGTCCTTTATTCAATCTTCTTCTTCCTCCTCTTCCTCAGCCTCGACCGATTCTTCCTCTTCGTCTTCATCCTCTTCGAATCCACCAACAAATATTAGTTTAGCCGTTTTCGGTCCAAAAACAGCACAAGAATCGGCTAAAGAGGTCGCAGAAGCCCGCCGAATTGAAGATCAACGTCGGGCTTCTGAACAAGAACGTGAGATAAGAAGAAATGAAAATCTTCGTAACATCAACGAACAAAGGCAACAAACACTTGGAGCCAGAAGGCAACTTGTGTTTGAAGGTTTTTATCTTTCTTTTTCCTTTTTTAAATGTTTTTTCTAGTTGTTATTCCCGATTTCGATGATGTGGAATCTGGGGATGAAGAAGATTATTCCTCTGATGAGGATTCGGATGATGAGAGCCTTATCAAAATTCCTAGAGCAGCCACAGCAAATGGTAACTCTAGGGAGCAGTGTTCTGATGAAAAATTTCAATTTATAGGAAGAATGCATCAAATTCAACATTTGGGGCGCCGACGGGATTCAAACAGAAAAATAACAACGGATGAATCTCTTCAGTGGTATGAGCCTGAAAAAAAGCTCCCAGAGAAACAGGACAAATGCAGCGGATGTTGGGAAGATGGTTGCGCGTCCACTATTTGTTATGGAATCTGTGGCCATCTTTCGTTCTGTGAAGTGTGCGCCAATAAGGCATGTAGGGTTGCTTTTGGAGAAAATTTTTATCCTGTATGTCCCCTTTGTCGTTTACAGACTCCTTTTTTTAAAACAATTTCAGGCAAAATCTGTAGGGGAAATAATTAAATTTTGAAAAATTAAGTGGACAGACATTTACGGGGGAAAATAATTCTGAAATATCTTTGATTTTGAAGGCAGTGAACTTTAGGGTGGATTTTTAGTCACGTTATCTTTTTCTTATTTAAAATGAGATAAAAAAATGCTCACCGTTATTATTTAAATGTCTGTACGCAAATTCTTCTCCTTTTGTCTTCTCCTCTATTTATTTCCTTTTATTTTATTTATTATTTTATATTATATTTTCTCTATTATTATAATTTATTTTCTGTTTTTAAGATTTAAACATGATTTATTTTTATTTATTTTTAACATTTAAATTATTGAATATGAATAATTATTACCTGACACCACTAATTCTTATTATACAATCTTACTCTTTTATTTAATTTTTATCTATTTTACTTTTTATTATTTATAATATGCCCTCTAAGAAATATTTTTGACGACTATTTAAATTTCTCTTTTATATATTAAATTTACCAATAAAATTTTTAAAAATATTATTTTGAAAGTTTGAGTCATCAAAATTTCTTTCTGTGTAGTAAATAACTGAAGAAGATACTCTCGGACTCTAAGTATTTTTTATAAAAATATTTATTTTCTCTTCTTACTTTTACAAACAATCAATAGAGTAATGAGTGAATTGGCGTTTCTAAATTTTTATTCTAATATTCAATAATAATATTTAACTATTTTTAACTTATTTTATTTAAATAAAATTCGAAATTAAACTAAAAAATATATTTTATCCAAATATATGAGAAAAATTTTTAAAATAACCAAATACAATTTACTAAAAAACAAAAGGATAGTAAACGAAATTAAAAAAAAAGAGTTTAGCAAAAGTTTAGCCATTGGCTAGGATTTGAAAATTAAAAACATAAGAGTTTAGCAAAAGTTACTTCGCATTTTAGCGTTTCGCTTTTTAAAATCTGTTTCGACACACCCCTCAAATTCGAGTCAAAAATAGTAAAAAATTAATATAACAAATCCCAACCTTAACCTCCAAACTAAATTTCCCACACTAGTCAACCTTTAAACAGAATGTTTCAATCACATCGTTTCATTCCAAACTAAATCGTTCCTGATCCCATCCAGCTAACACGGAAACAAAAACAAAATAATCTTAAAATTATTCAAAAATTAATAAATTAGCAAAACAATTAACAAAAACAATTAAGGTTGTTTTGCTAATTTATTTAATTTTTGAATTTTTTTAAGATTATTTTGTTTTTGTTTCCGAGTTAGTTGGGTAGGATCAGTATTGATTTGAGAGTTGGGGTTAAAAAGTGAGGGAAATTTAGTTTGGAGGTTAAGGTTGGGATTTGTTATTGTTAATTTTTCTACAATTTTAATTACTTTTTCGTTTCGTGAAACGTTACAAATGGTCTCTAGAGTCTTTTTGACCCCTTCTTCAAAAAAATAATCTGTCAATGTCTGCGGAGAATCGGCAATTAGATCAATTGAATGCCATGTAGGAGTAGTAAAGTATGCCCATTTTACTAATAATTCTGTAACATCACCCTCTTCATTTATTTTTGAATCGACCACCTTTTCAATTTCCCAGAAGGTTACACCATTACTTACAGAAATAGGCAAAACTGGGACCTTTGAATTTTATTTTAAGTATTACTAATTATTTTAAAAAAATATTATTTATTTGTTATTTATATATATATGATTTCTATTCTTTACTTTGATTTTATATTTTTTACTTTAGAAAGTAAAGAATAGAAAATCAAAGGAAAAGAATAGAAACATTCAAGTTTATAAAGAATAAAAATAGAAAAAAGAAAATCGAGAACGTCTCTCGACGTTCAAGATTTAAAATATAAGAATAGGAAGAAGAAAATCAAGAACGTCTCTCAACGTTCAAGATTTATAACGAATAAGAATAGAAAAAGAAAATCGAGAACGTCTTTCAACGTTCAGGATTTATAAAGAATAAGAAAATCAAGAACGTCTCTCAACGTTCGAGATTTATAATAGGAATAGAAAAAAAAATCGAGAACGTCTTTCAACGTTCAAGATTTATAAAGAATAAGAATAGAAAAAAAGAAAATCGAGAACGTCTCTCAACGTTCAGGATTTATAAAGGAAAGAAATAGAAAAAGAAAATCGAGAACGTCTTTCAACGTTCAAGATTTATAAAGAATAAGAATAGAAAAAAGAAAATCGAGAACGTCTCTCAACGTTCAGGATTTATAAAGGAAAAAAAAATAGAAAAAGAAAATCGAGAACGTCTTTCAACGTTCAGGATTTATAAAGGAAAAGAATAGAAAAAGGAAAATCAGGAACTTCTCTCAACTAGAGACCGGAATTTCGCACTGAACGGTATTCCATACTGAAATACCGAAAAATACCGATAAAATTCAGAATTTTACCGTATTCCTACCGTATTAGTAATACCGATAAATACCGAAAAATACCGTCCGGTCTCTACTCTCAACGTTCAAGATTTTAAAGAAAACGAATAGATTTTAGCCATTTTTGAATTTTGTCAAATTAAAATTTATTTATAATAAAATTTACCCCTTCCTCATTGAGCTGAGAATGTTTTTCAAGAAGAATAGGACATTCTGAAGGTTCATGTCCAATTATATCACAACATTTTTTTGTAGCAGCTTAATATTAGGAAATTAAAAATAAAATTTACAAATATTTAAATAATATTTCTCGGAAGAATATTTTCTCTTCGAACATTTTCGATTATTGAGCGGTCGAGTCTCCCTCATTTCTCCTATTAAAGAGGAAACAGACTCTTTCCCCCTCTTTTCCTTCCTCTTCTTTTCCTATATTAGTAAAAGAAAGAAAAAGAGGAGAGGAAAAAAATTTCATATGTATACCCATGCGGTCTATTCCTTTTTTTAATTTAGGGGGTCAGGACCAAAAAATAGAAAAAATTTTAATAGGATATCGACCCTGTCTACACATGGTGCAGCAAGAAAAAGAATTAAAAAAGAAAAATAAAAAAGACCAGAGGAAATGCCGTCAGCAGCACTGTTAATTGGAGAGCGAGATCTAAAAGATTAGATTATTTTATCTTCGGTAAAATTATTATAAAATTATTTTACATAACAGAAATTATTAACCTAGAATATGTACGAGACGATTGACCACTATCAGAACGAATTCGACGCCCGATACTTTGTTGATTTTGAAATTGAGGTGTAGCATTACTAAGCTTTATAGCATTGGTAAAGTCCTTTGCCACCCTAGGCAAATAATGGCGTAGTTTTGTTGGTGGTGAATTTTCTTCTTCTTCTTCTTCAAAATTATTTTCTTAAAATACAATTTAAATTTTTTTAGTTTTGCATTTAATATTTTTTATTCAATTTATTTAAATACCTGGAGTTGAATTACTGCGAGAACGTGTTTCTATTTTGAAAATTTAATATTTTTTATTAAAATTCTTAAAATTAATTACCTCTCTTATTTTTCTTCTTTTTAGAAACATTTTTTATATCCTTCTTCTTAACTTCCGTTTTTATTATTTTCTTCTTCTTCTTCCTTTCCACTTTAATTTTTTTATTTTTATTATTTATTACTATAATTTATGAGTATTTAATTTTTAAAATTTTGGTAAAATAAACCATTCGAAGTTGACTGATGATTAAACCCTTCCTTCCTCCCCAAAAGAGAGCCGGCCTCAGCCTCCACTGTGCCTACCGAAAGCATACCACATCCACGATTGATAACAGAATTATTGTTGCCAATTTCTAGATCGAAAATATCATTTTTTAATTTTAAAATAGAAAAAAAAATAAACCAGAATCTGAAGAAGAAGAAAAAGATTTATTAGCATTTTCAGCCTGAAATTTCTTATGGAGTTCGCCAACTATGGTTTTTAAAATTAAAAATAAAACAATAAATTTAAACGTTTATTTCTCTGAGCTAGTGGATTATCATCTAAATTGATAAAGAAATTGGAGAAATATATACTAAGAATCCTACATTCGTATTCAGAATCAGAGCTGGGGTCGACATATTCATCGGAAGGCATTTTCGAAAATTTAGAAAAAATTTTTAAAAATAATAATTCTATAAGTTTAATTTTTTAAATATAATACAGAAATTATAGTTTGGTTACACACCCCATTTATTCGCAAAACAACACAATATTGGTCATTTATTCGCAAGACAACGCAATATTGGCCATTTATTCGCCAACAACCCGTTTATTCGCAAGCACCCAACAGACAAGTTATTGTGTACAAAAGAGACACCCGTTGATTCCCGCAAAGAGACCCTTTGATTCCCGTTGATTCCCCCTGACTATAAGTTCAATACTAAATACTTCTCAATTTCGGGTAAATTATGGAAGGGGCTTAGTTTAATTAAAAATTTAGATTATTTAATTTTATTATTCTTTTTAATATTTAAAAAATACCTCAAAAATAAAGAAGAAGAAAAATTTCTTAAATCCAAAAAAGATTATTCACTTTTGTTGTTGGTAATATTGATTAAAAAAATTTCAGAATTTTTGGTTAAAAAATACCCAACAGTTGAATATTTGGATTTTCCTTTTAAGGCGATAGACGACAGTCGGGAAGAATGAACAGACAATTGCTTTGTTGTAAAGATTGTAAGAAATAGAATAATTTGTAAAAATTTAAAAAATTTTTCAAATCCTGAAAAATTATTATAAGTATATAAAAAGTTTTAAATAGAAACGAAGATATCGAAACCTTAGATATAGAAATGGTTCGAAATCACGATTTTCATATGACACCTACTACCCTCTGAAAGGAATTACACACTATTTGGAATCACCCAATTTCAAGAAAATATTTTTTAATCCCAAGAAAACACCCTAATATAGAGAGCCTAACCATATAAATAAAATTAAAACAAACCTCAAAACTTTCCAAGCTTTATTAATTGCCAAAAATTTTTCAAAAATTTGAGAACCACTTCTGTCAGGATGAAATCTTCTTAACAAATCAAAATATATTTTTCTCAATTCTTCACAAGAAATGTTATGATCTTCACAATTTAATAAGAATATAATATTCGCATCTAATCCATTTAAAAAACTTTGAAAAAAATAATTAAAAATAATAAAAAAAATATAAAGATAAAATATATATGGGATAGGGAAGAGCAGAATTAAATGTTCACTTAAATGGGAAAAATAATCCATACACATATTAATTCCACTCTTCCCTCTCCCATATATTTGGGCGGCAAAAAAATGTCTAGGTCAAAGAAAATGTCTAGGTAATCGTTATGGACAGAGTCCACTCTCAAGCGAAGCTAGAGAGAGGAGACAGAGTTCTCTCTCAAGCGAAGCTTGCGAGTGAACTCTGCCCATAACCACCCTTTATACATTGATTAATATTTAAAAAGGTATTTTATAAATAAAAAAGAAAAAAGTTTTAGATCGATGCGCGGAAATTACCGTCGCGGCTTTTGCGCGACGAAAAAATGTTTTACTAAGTTTTACCGTCGCGGCTGTCAATCAATTTGTAATTATCTGTTATGTCAAAAATAACAGATAATTACAAATTGCGGTAAGATAAAAAGATAAAATAACCCTTTACAAGGTTTTAATTGTCCGACTGACAATAATTGTCCCAAAACAGTTGTAGACCAAATGTCCTTTTTGTGACAGCCGCGACGGTGAGGGTGGGATAACTACTTGCTACCCTAGTCAAAACATGTCTTTCGAACCGACGCAGACAAATGTCCAGAGCTCTTTTCTCTTTCTAATATTGAAAATTTTTATGTAATCCTTTAATGATTGCAATAATCATTTTTATCTTGTAAGCTTCCAAAATTCATAACTACTATTTTTATTAAAAATATATGTACATTTAAAATGACAAATTTTAGATTTAAAAAAATCAAAAATAATTTTAAACTCTTAAAATTTCCATATTCTTATTAAAACATATACTAATCCATTGATGAAAATTATTAGACCAATGAATTTGATTAATCTAAAATTTAAATAAAAGTTTGGAATTTTTATTTCTTATTTTACTTCTCCTTCAGCCGTATATGCAAGTATCGGTTCATCTCTATTAAAATGATTCATTTGCCAAATTAATGCTTGTCGATCACTGCCGGCTGTACAAATATGTACTGTTGAATGAGGTGCCCAAGCTATTCCATTTATGAATCCTCTATGATTTCCAAAACGAGCTAAAGGTCTGCAAGGAACTCGAATATCCAAAATTACAACCTAAAAATAATCTTTTATTTTTAAATAGAAGCCGCAAAAATAAACAAGAAAAACACTACTCTATGAAATGATTCTGGAATGAGTTATAGGCAACGAAAAATTGAAAAACAAGAAAATATAAAATATTTCCAATGCCAATCCAAATACCGTTAAAAAATTTTTACCTCAAAAGATTCGTGTGCAACGGTTGCCAATTTTGTATGTTCACGTTTATTCCAAGCTACATGATTTAACATTCGTTTTTCTGGATCTTCATATAAAATCGTAGAATGTTGAAGTGAACGAAGGTCAAAGAGCCTAACACTGCCATCTGCACCTGAAAATTAATTTTTATAGTATATTTAAAAAATATTAGAGAAAGGTAGGAGTCGGAATCAAAAAACCTCTAGCACTGGTCAGTGGTCCCAGTATAGGGTATCCGTTCAACTAACACAGAAAATAATTTATGAAATCAAAATTCGCTTTTTTTATCCAATTGCTAAAGGTTACGACAAACCTGCAGTAGCAAATTGATCTCTCCCACCGCTATCAAGTTTTGCAAAAGCAATATCATGTACAGGCTTTTCATGAGCTATCAATTGGGTTTTTTGTGAACCTTCAATTGCCTTGATTTGCCCAATTTGTTGAACAGTCTATTAAATAATTACTTAAAATATTTTAAAACTAAACAAAACCTCAACATTCCAAACAGTACATGTTGTATCAATACTACATGTAGCTAGCAATGTAGAATCTACTTCATTCCAGTCAAGTCCCGTCAACGGTGCAGAATAAATGTTTGATTTATTAGTCTAAAATTTTTTTTTAATTTTAAAGAAAATTAAGGTTTTATAGTCTGCGGGCAGTTTTGAACAGAGTTTAATTGATATAAATAAATTATTCGAAGAGTTCTTAATAAAAAAGCATTCTCTGATTTTCCATACCTCTTTATTTTCAATTAAAAACTTACAGAATATAATTCACACTCCAATGTAATTGGAATTTGATTAAAATCTCTATTTGGATGATATCTAAAAATTCGTAAATAATTTGAGGTAGTAGCAAATAATTCTGGCTGTGATGGGTCCTAAAAAAGAATTTTAGAGTTTATTAACAAAAATAAAAATTACCTGATTTGGAATAAATTTTGTTGAAGATATTGGGTATCCATGAGGGAATGTAGCTCTTCTAACTAATTCTCCAATATTTTCATCTAATTCGATAATAAATACCTTTTAAATTAAAAAAATTAAATTTTAAAATTATTTTATATTTTTAATTCTTATTTTTATGGGTATTGACCAAAATACTCGAGAGTTTAATTTAATTACCTTTTACCTAACCAAATTTCCCAATCTAACGTTTAATAGTAAATAATTTAATTTAAAATTTATAATATTTGAGGAGTATATACAATAAAACTAAAATTTATTTAACCTTATTATTCATAATTTTTTCTTCATCTAACAAAGTCCCAACTACAAGTCTAAACCTTCTATCTTCATATATTTTATTTGACCAAGCAGCAGCAAATAACATATCCTCACAAGTATATCTATAAATTTCTTTTCTCATTTTTTGTTGACAAATATTTGTTGTTGAAGATTTTAATGTTGTTTGGTTATTAAAAATCATTGGTTGAACTAATGCTGTTGTAGGGGTATTTTGTATTAAATTATTTGTTGTATTTGTTTGTTGTTGCTGTTGTGTTGAAGAGGGAGTTGTTATAATATTTTGTAAATTATTTAAAATTGAAATATTTGTAGGATTTGTATTGATACTAGTTGTATTTGTAGTAGATGATGATTGTGTTGAATTAATATTAGTTGTAATTGTTGGAGTTATTGTAGATACATTCGAAGTTGTTGGTTGATCCATATTAGTTTAAAAATCTAATTCATAAATTTAAATATAACTACAGAACAAAATTTAGGGAAAGGCTTCTGAATACACAAAGGGTGAGAAAAACTAAAAGAAATATATAAAAATATTTTGATAAAAACAAATAAACAACAAAATAAATTTTTAAAACTATTCAAAAAAAACAAGAAAAAATCTAAAAATAACAAAAACAAATTAGGTAATTTTCATCTCCTTTGCTTTTTCTTTTCCTTTTCAGGATTAATTATACCATTTGCAACCTTCCAGTCATAAACAACTTCATCTTGAATATATGGCTCTACAGGTGTATATCTTTTAAATTCCATTGTGAATTCACCTAGAAATTTACAAAGTTGAAAAATAATATTGAATTTAAATTTGAGTTCACAAAAATTTGGTCAGACAAAAATTTCTCAAAGCTATAAATTAAGCTGACAATGAAAAGGATTCCCCTACATTGTCATAAAGAATAAAAGAAGTTCCTTGATCATTCCACCTCTCATAAAAATAATTTTTTAAAACCTTTTCCTTGAGTTTGTGTCCTTAATATTGTACTATAACCAAACATTTCACGGAGAGGTGCCTGAAAAACAAAATTTTTATTCAAAAAATATTCAAAAAAAAACTTCGCATTCAAGTGTAGAATATTCAGCACCAGTAGCTGTAGCAGTAACAATCCCTTTTCTTTCAATTAATGTTTTGACTACTTGACTCTTAAAATTGTTTTTTAATTTTCTAAATAATTTTACAAACCTCAAATTCCATTGGAACTACACACTCAACTTTAACTACAGGTTCTAATAACATCCAATTGGCACGCTCATATGCTTCTCTCATCATATTCATCTAATTAAGATAAAATTTATTTTTAGGTAAATTATGTAAATAATAAATGTTAAAAAGCTAAAATTCTAGAGGCGTAATTACTTCAAATCAAGACTATAAAAAGCCCAAAAAATAAAAATCACTCACCATTGTAGCAATCATTGCAATATCAGTAGTATCGACAATGTGTGTTTTTCCATCTAAAATATTCTTAAACTCAAAAATATTAAATTAAAATACCTTGAAGTATAACTTCAATCCCAGTTACTGGAGCTTTAATTAAAGGACCTTCCTTAGTAATCGCTTCTAGGCCCTAAAAAAATTAAATCTTTAAAAGAAAATAGGCATAATTTAGAAATAGTTAAAACACCTTTCGAAGTGAAGACATAAATTTTTTTGGAACTCCTTCACCCACAGAATTATCAGTAAATTCAACAATTGTATTTCTCTCTGGAGGTTGCGGATTAATTACACCTTCAATTTCTCCAAATTGACCATGTCCGCCCGTTTGCTTTTTATGACGAAAATTAAACCTGAATTAAAAAATTTTTTGAAATTTTTTTTTACTTGACCACTAACCTGTAAGGAGTCTTTAATGTTTCCTTGTAAGAAACGGCTGGTTGTCCCAATTCCACAGGGCAATCAAATTCATTTTTCATTCTTTGAGCGTAAATTTCCTTAAAAATATCTTTATCGGGACAAAGAATAATTATAATAAAACGTATAAAGAGAAAGAAAACCTATAAAGAGAACAAAAAAGCCTTAAATCCTTAAAAGGTCAATTTATAAAATTACCAAATGTAATTCACCCATTCCACTAATAATTGTTTCGCGATGATCTTTTCGATATTCCATATGAAATGTTGGATCCTCATTGGAAAAACGTTTCAAAGCCGATAGAAAAGTATCAGAGATAACTTTAGATGTAGGTTTGATTGACATTGAAATAACTGGGTCAGGAATAAACATTGACTCCTGAAAATTAGAGAAAAAATATAACATCTAAAATTATGTAGTAATTATAGTTACTAGTTTAAATTTTAATTAAAGAAAAAAAATAATCTCTCCCATAAAGATAAAAAATTTAAACATACACAATGTACATTCATACTTGGATCAGAACAAAAAGTTTCTCCACTAGCACATTCCAATCCTAAAACTGCACATATATCACCAGCATAAGCTACATCAATTTCCATCATATTGTTAGCATGCATTCTAACCAATTTGGATATTTTTACCTAAAAAAAGTTGTTTCCACATAGATTAAATAATTAACCTTCCTTCCATCTCTGGTTGCATAAATGGTATCGCCTTTGGAAAGTCGACCTTGATAAATTCGAAAGAACGTTCGTCCAGCCTAAAAATCGAAAAAATTATTAATTTAAAAAATTATAGAACCTCCAATTTAAAAGCCAATCCAATAAATGGTTTCAGCAATTTTGGATCGGATATTCTGTCTGGGCACATAAAAATCTTTTCAAAGTTTTCTTCAGAGCTAAATTATTTGGAATTTACAAATAAAATAGATAAAAAGACAAACTCGTATAAATTAGCAAAATTCTTAACTTCCGAAGGATTTGGAAGATAATGAACAACAGAATCTAAAATTACTTAAAAATTTTAACATATATTTAAAGACCAATCATTTGTTGAACTCCTTTGTTCTTCAAGGCTGACCCCATTAAAACAGGAACGAAAGTTCTGTTAATAGTAGAACGCCTAATTGCAGCCTTGATTTCTTCTGAGGAAGGAATTTTGTCTTGTAAATAAATATCAGCTATTAAATCATCACAGTTTGAAAGGGACTCTGAAAAATATTTTTATAAAGGTATAAGAAATTTCTACAAAGTAAATCAAAAGTTAAAAACCCTGATAGCTCGTTTAAATAACTAGCTTTGAATTTTTGAACAAATTAAGGTATACGCTAAAATAAAACTTGATGGGGGTCATGCGTTAAATGATACAAAATATGTCAGGGGTCTATTTGATCTGTCTCAATGTAGCTGTCGCTATGGCCGATCGAAATTCTGCGCCATAAAGTAGGATTCAAGATTATTGATACCTACCTAATAATTGTTGACGTAAATCAGATGCCTCTGCTCTGTGCTCTTTTGAAATTTCTTCGGCTCTAAGTTCAGAACCATCATCAGTCGCATTAAAAACAGCATGTTCCTCAATTAAATCAATTACTCCTTTAAATTGTGATTCTAATCCAATAGGCATTTGAATAAAAGCAGCATTGTGATTTAATTTTGATCGAAGGCCCAACAAAGCATTTTGAGGACTCGCACCGACACGATCCAATTTATTTATAAAACAAATAAAAGGGACATTATATCGCCGAAGTTGTCGATTGACAGTAAAAGTTTGACTTTGAACACCTCCAACACCACAAAGAACAAGAACGGCGCCATCAAGCACTCTTAAAGCACGTTCAACTTCCACAGTGAAATCAACGTGACCTAAGGAATTTTAAATTAAAAGGGTGGAAAAGTCTAGTTATCTCCTTTACACATCAGTTTATAATAGGCTTCAGATATGCAGACTAACTATGATGTCAGATTTATTATAAAATAATCAATCTATAATTTAAAAAAATTTTTTTTGCTATTCTCCATGGTTCAGAATTTTTTGTATCTAGGTCAGATCAAACAAATACCTAATCTAACACCAACATTGGAGACGAAGGGGAAAGGAAAAAATTTGAATAACCAAACTTTACCAAACAAAGTCAATTTGATGAAAATTCTTAGGGACCAACAAAACCAAAGATTAACGGTACAGTTGTGTAATAACAATACTCAAAAAATGTTAAATTGTGGAAATAAAGCAACCTGGTGTATCAATAATATTTATGTTAGTTCCATGCCAATCAACATATGTAGCGGCCGATTGTATTGTTATTCCACGTTGACGTTCCAATTCCATAAAATCCATAGTAGCACCAACTTTATCTTTTCCTTTAACTTCATGCATTGCATCAATTTTCCCTGCATAATAAAGAATTCTTTCAGTTACTGTTGTTTTTCCAGAATCAATATGTGCAGAAATACCTAAAAATATATATTATATAAAATAAAAAAATAATAATTAACCTATATTTCTTATTTTTTCTACAGGGGAAACATAAGCAAGTCCAGAAAGATCAGGTTGACGGAATCCATCAGAAATAAAGCGATAAAAATAAAACTTTTTATGTCTTTCAAATAGCCGTAGATTTCTACTAATTGTAAAATACATTTAACAAGAAAACCTTAAAAATCTAAAAATAAAAATTAAAAAAAACATTGCGAGCTAGGTAGTAGGATTGGCCACCGTCCCCGCCAAAAAATTTTGACCCTTTCAGATTTCGACCTTTTCAGAATTAGGTAATTTGTCATTTACCTATATAAAAAATTGGTAATATGTGGAGTTACCAAATTGAATGATTTATTATTATGTCGAAATGCAAAATTCATCTGGTCAATTATAAATTGTTAAAGGCACTTTTTTCTTTTTTTTACCTTTTTTCGTAGAAACATTCATATTATTTTATCTTTTAGGTTATCATTTGGTGTTACACTCATTAAATATTTTATTTAAAAATTACTTAAATTTTATTGCTACAATTATGAGACAAAAAACTTATGTACTAGCAAAGGCAATTTTGGAAAGAAAAGATGTTCTTTTTGGTTCAAGCGAAAATGTTTTTAAACCGCAAGCATTAAAAGAAAAAGAAGATGCTTGGGAGGGTGTTCGACTGGAAATGATTGAACAAGGATTTCAAAATTTTGAACGAAAATCTTGGAGAGATGTTAGAAATCACGATTGGCAATATTTGCGTAGATCAGCTGTAGCTAAATATGAACATAATCAGAAATCTGGTGTCGAAGAGATTCCTTATAGTGAGGTAAATTACTATTTTTATTAGATTATAAATTCTACAAACTTACTTTGATTTTGTGATTCTTTTAATTTTTAATTAAATTTTTTAAATTTAAATCTATAAAAGGTTGACAAGGTTGTTTTTGATATAATGGGGAATGAGGTTCTTCAGTCGTCAGCACAATTTGACCCTATGAATGGAGCACTTAATGCCACTTTTAACTGGTTAAAATGTGAGGAACAACATGCTGGATCTGACAGTGCTGATTCTTCATTTTTGTCTACTTTGAATATTCCTGCAGTTGAGCAAGTGCAAACAGGTTTGGTCGCTTATATGTAAATGTTAACATGCTTTGTTTGACTGTATTTTTATGAGATTAAGTTTTTACTTTATTTTTGTGACTAAATTTTTAATAACCCCTCCACCTCATATTTTCTTATTATACTCTAACTATATTTCTAATAATTTAGATCAGCAGCAACTTAATACATTCTTGAGCTCTGCTTTGGCTGCAAGTGCTTCATATTTAAGTCGAAAAACATCATGGGAAACACAAAGTTCACCAATTGAATCACCACGGGGAGACCAGCCACTTCGCAAACAACAACGTTTTTGTTCTCAATCTGCCAAACAAAGCCCACAAAATAATGGAAATGAAAATCATATGACGGATAAAAGCAAAGGTTGTGTAAATAATTATTTTTTAGATATCCCTTTTTTAGCAAAAAGCCTATTTTGTATTTTTTTTTCATTTTTAATTAAATTTTAGACGGTCCTTATATTTCTTTGTTCACATATCGGTAATACTTCCCTGACAACTACTTTAATTATAGACAAGCAAAACATTTTTAACTCACTCATGGGTTCATTAGTAGTATAATTAAATTCATTTTAGATAACGATGTAATTATAACTGATGGTCCAGAGAATGCCACAAATGCTGAATTATTAGTACAACGTATAATCGAAGCATCTACTCAAAATAATAACAACAATTTATTAATTTCAGAAAATTCTGAGGAAATACGTCCATCAGTTTCTAGCGGTGTAATTACTTCGACATCATCAACTGCTAATAATAATAATATTAACAATGTTCGTAAACGTCAACATTCGTCTTCTTCAATAATTGCAACAAAGTCGATTGAGGATGAAATACAAGAAGCAAAATTGAAACAAATTAATTTACAAATTAAAAGAGAAGAGATTATTTTATTGCAAGAAAAGGCAAAATTATTACAAGAAGAGGCTAAAGTTCGACAAGAAAATGCTAAAGCTGAATTATTAGAGCGTCAATTGGCAAAAATTGTGGATGGTTAGAAATTATTAGGTATATTTTTGAAAAAGAGTAATCTTGCTTGTATTTTGAATTTTTTTCAATTTCCCTAAAATTCTATCAATTAATATGCACAGAATTTGAGAAACTTTTTTTGTTGGAAAAATCCACGTGGTTTTTTCTGTTCTTTCATCTCACCTTTATTTAAATATTTTTTAACTTCATTTAAGTTAAAATTTTTCGCTTGCAAAGTACTTTTTATTTTTAAAATTTTCAAAGTTATTAAAAAACTTTTTCTTCAAAAATTGGTTTCCCGATTTAAAATTTTCTTCAAAAATTCATTTCATTACTAATTCCGTGCATAATTTTTCTTTCTTCTCTCAAAAAGTTTTATTCGTTATAATTGATTCTCCCACCCAAATACCTCTCTCTTTCTTCCTCTTACTCTTTCCCCAATTACCTTGTCTCCCAAATTTAATGTCGTTTTTTTTTCATGTCACAGCAATAATTTAAAAAAAACTAAAAAATTGTTGATACTTTCTTCCCATTTTATCTTCATTTTTTCACTTGTTATCATAAAAATCTCATCACACCTAATACAAGGTGACCGAAAATTAATGGGACACTTTATTATTTTTTGTTTTATCATTAAGGAGAAATATTGTCCAAAATTTTTCCATACATTTTTACCTTTGTATCCAAGCCAAGTTTCTAAAACTCCTGATTATTTTATCTTTTAAAATTTATTTTATCCAATTATTTTGAGTAACATTTTGAAAAAAACAGTGTCCCCTTAATTTTCTCATCTACTTATGTACAAATTAGATAACAAAATATTTTTTTGTTTATCAAAATTCACAACATTGCCATAATTTTTGAATTTATTCTAATTATCTTCCCCATACATTTTATTTTTCAATCCTAAAAAGATATTTTTTGCTATATTTATCAATACATTTATTCCCTAACAGCAATTAAAATAAAAAAAGGTACTAATTACTTCACCTGCATTTCTCCCTTTGCGCGCGACACTTTTTTGCTATTCAGTAGTAAGTACCACAATAAAAAATATT